ATACACACACACACACACACACACACACACACACACACACACACACACACACACACACACACACACACACACACACACCACACACACACACACACATACACACACACACACACACACACACATATATATATATATATTTGATCGTCTAGCGGCATTGTATGGTATGATACAGAAATCTAAGGACAGAATAGGATATTAAACTCTAGATAACCAGGTATCTGTATATACCCTTGATCAAAGGTGTCAAGCTTGATCGCCACAAACCCGTATTTTCTATGTGTGCAGAGTTTCTACGCACGACATAGATACTACAGGTACATAGTGCGTATCTTTATTGATAGACAATCAACCCCCCCCAAATCCACCATGAATGAGCTTTATGCCAAACCTGAATGGTGCGCCTGGCCCATATGCGTCTGCAGGGACTTTTGGGTCGCAAAGGTCTGTTTACACCTCTGACAGGGCACTCGCGGTCGCCTTGTCACTTGCTCGCCCATGGATGCCTTCATAAAGTATGACGAGGCATTCGGACTCCCCACTCGCCTTCGCTTAGATAGCTTGTGCGTGCGGCCTTGCAGAGACGGCTTGCTGTGTGATACTGGGGGAGAGTCTGGATGGTCTCGGGGAGGGGGTTCCCAGGTAGGGTCCCTTTCATCCCGGTCCTTCCCTTTGCGCGTCTTCGGTTGCTTGCGTGTGCGAATGTGTGGTCGTGTCTGTCCGCGCGAGGCAGAATCCTTCTCGTGAGGTATCTTTTGGGATGCTTTCCTCAGTCCATCCCCCATGTGGTGCGCTGTGTCAGTCTGAGATCCACTACTGTTCGATGTCGTAGCCGTCGTAGTCGTGTCATGTACTGGCAGGGTACTCGAACTGGTTGTTTCATCAGTCTCCTGAGGTGGCTGAGCTGTGTGGCGTGTGATTGTCACCGTACGCTTGAGATGCACAAAGTCCACGTGGGACTCCATCTCCTGCCGTGTGGCAAAGAACCTGTGACAGTGATTCCACCCGCACGTGTATACCCCCTTCAACCCACTATTCTTTGGTGTCGTACGTTGCTTCTCCTCCTCCAAGGTCACTACCGGAATCACCTTGGGCGAGTCCTGATTCTCACCACCCCTCTCCTCAGACCTCATCTCATACGCGTCACTATTCAGATCACGGTCACGTTTACGCTTCCTTGTCCGACTTTGTCCCTGACCCTTAGATATCTGATGCTGTGCATGTGTTGCATCCTCCGCTGCCGGCCGCCCATTCTTCTGTGGTAATTGCTCCTTTAATGTCACCACAGGAATCACCTTGGGCGAGCCCTCATTATTACCACCCCTCTCCTCAGACCTCATCTCATACGCGTCACTATTCGGATCGCGGTCACGTTTACGCTTTTGCCCCTTACTTTTACGTATCTGATGCTGTGCACGTGTTGCATCCTCCGCTGTCGGCCGCCTATCCTTCTGCGGCAATTTTTTCTTTAATGTCACCACAGGAATCACCTTGGGCGATCCTTGCCTCTGACCGTGGCTCTCTATGAGCTCCGTTCGAAGCCTTCTGCGTGTCTGGTCGTGTTGATGTTTGTGTGTACGTGCTTGTTTCTGAGTCTGGTTGTGGGCTCTGGTTTCCTGTTGCCGTGCTTGTGTGACCGCCTCTTCGTCCTCAATACACGACGATGGCAATACCGGCATCGCTTTTGGTTTGGCTCGGGGTTTGTGCTTGATAGGAGCTTCTCTAGCACCAGGATTTAGCTTCCGTTCATCTGCACGCTTCGTCACCCCGCTGGTCTCCACAGTACTACGAGACTCCTTAGCCATCTCCAAAGTACCGTTCACATCAGCTGCTTCACCTGTAAAAGCCATCGCTTCCATCCGTGTGCATGTATCGTGACTGGTTGAAACCTGGCGTTGCCTAACAACCATCTCTTGAGTGTTCTGAGGTTTCACCGAAGACGACGTATGTGTGGTTATCGACAGAGCACTTTCAGACCTGGACTGAGCATTGTGCACCTGAGACGAGCCATCCGCTGCCTTCACCGGCGAATGCTTACGCGTGGACGGAGTCAGTGCATTCGCTGACCTGGTGTTTTCACTCATCGGCCGAGTGCCTATAGACTCCACAGTTGCATGCAGGCTTTGTGGCAGTGCTCTAGACGGTCCTATGTTGTAGTCAGCCGAATCTGGCGAGATAGCGGCAGCAGAGTGCGTCCCATGCTTGCGCCGCAAATGGTCTCTCATCATACTGTTTGGGGTGTACGTGTACACCCAGTATGAGCACGTTTGCACCCTGCAGTACACTCTCGCGACGTCTAGCTTCCGTAGCTGGCTCTTGCGTTGCTTGGTCTCTGGCTTCTTAGAGACATGCTGCGGTTGACCGGTAGGTCGTTGCGGTTGACTAGTAGGTCGTGGTAGGGGTGCTTGTGCACCGTGTTGGGTGGTATCAGATTCCGCATGCCGATAGCTTTCCAGCTTTCGCGGGGTGTTGCTCGATTCTCGCGTCTCCGCTGCACATGCACGGCTAGCATCGTCCACAGAGTTCTTCATATGTGCCTGTGAAACATCAATAACTTCATCGGAAGGGGCATGCTCCTCCTTCGTCACACGGTCTGCTGCATTAGAAGAATTAGGCAGGCGTACACTCGCCTCGCCAGATGAGGTTGTATATCTGGATAGCGCACTGTATTCACTCCGCTCAGAGGACTGAGTCGCTGACTCAGACAAGGTTGCATGCTCAGGCGCAAGCACAAGCGCAAACACAGGCAAGGGGACCTGGTGTGTGTGTGTGTGTGTTGGTGCAGGGGTTGCATGGTGTTTAGGGGTTTCCAGGGCTAAAGTGGTTTCTGGTGCTGCTGTTGTAGTGGTTTTTGGTGTTTGAAGCCCACTGCGTGCGCCCGGACGCACAACCCAACGGAAAGCCGAAAGGGGAGCACTTACCCATGAGTCACTCAGTTGCCCAGACCGCCGCTCCCCGCTCGTCTGTCCACCTGTATGGTGGGAACCTTTCTCGCAAGGGCCACCCGTGGATGGCCGGGGTGTTGTTGAGCCATGCATACCCATGGTGTGCTGCTGGTGCATATCCGTAAACGTGTCCTCGAGCGCATCTACATCAACGGGACCGACCACAGCTCCTGCACCGCCACCGAGTGCTGTACCGGCACCAAACTCCTTCTCGGCGTCGGAGAAAGAGCCCTCGTACGCATGCACGGTGTGTGCTGGGCGAGAGTCCAGGTCTATTCCGTTAACAGACCCATCACTGTCGGACAAGAAGAAATCAATATTCCGGCGGACGTGGTTCCTGCCTCGGCTACCAGTGGCTTTGAGCATACTTCCGTTGCCATGGCAACGATTACTAAGGTCGTGCACGCCATCCTCAGTATCCTTGGTACACTCACATACACACCCTTCTACACCTGGACCACGCACAGACTGGTTTTCCATTTCCCCACGTATCTGTATAGCGCTATCCGCATGCACAGCACCTGAAGGGGCCTGTAGCAGCACTCCAGCGATCAGAGGGGTGATACTCTCAGTACGAGTGGTCTTGCACCCAACGCCCTACACGGCTCCAGTAGGTGCGGAAGTAGCAGGCGGTAGCGAAGGCAAGGTATGAGACGAGTGCGGGTTTGCGGGTGTTGTGGGGTCAGTTGTGCTTGTGGTACTCGCAGTGACTAGCACCGTGTCTGCGGGTTGAGACGCACAGACTACTGGGTTGGTATGGTTGGCAGGGTGTGCGACCTCGGCACATTCATTGGTGGTACATGGTATAGTCTCTGGGTACTGGGACATCGGGGGTGTCGGCTGACTGTCGCACTGCTGAGGACACTCCTGTATATGGCTCTGCTCCCACCAGTCGACTAGCTGCGTATGGCATGCACATATACGGACGAATGCACATCAGTGTCTCTGATGCGAGCGTGCGTGATTGCCCAATGCCCCGGCAAGTAGACATACGTAGACATATGCACGTGAGTGGCTTTATAACGAGTATACACGGTTTACAGAGAACCAATTCATGAGGCAATTTAAGACATAACCCAGGCATATGCATGTGAGTGACTTTAAAGCATGAATACACGGTTATCTAGTAAACCAATTCAAGAGCTGAAGTATAGACATACGCAGTTATATGCACGTGAGTGGCTCTATAATGAGCATACCCGGTTTACAGTGAATCAGTTTAGGAGGCAAATCAAGACATACCCAGGCATATGCATGTGAGCGACTTTAAGGCGTGTGTACACGGTTATCTAGTAAACCAATTCAAGAGACAAAGTATATACATACGCAGTCATGTTCACGTGAGTGGCTCTACGGTTTACAGTGAATCAGTTAATTTAAAAAATCAAGGCATAAACAGGCATATACATGTGAGTGGCACCATTGCGAATGTACGTGGGTTTCAGTAAGCCCTTTCAAGAAATAAGGAACCACGGTGAGATATCCGTTAGACCGACAGGTATGCGGATGAACGCACACCACTGGCTTTGAAGCAAGCACACACGGCTTCCAGTCAATTATCCAGGGAGTATAGGGAGGTGTAAATTGTTCCAAGAAGAAGGGTGGCATGCAGCGATTGTTGCATTTGGTATACATTGGCGGAAAGAAGCACGTGAGTGGCGCTAAGGCAACGATATATGGTTACTCAATACGTCAACTCATGAAGCAACTAAACACTTACGCAGGCAATGCATATGAGTCGCATAAAGAAATACGGAATTGAAGAGTGGTTTAAAGTAATTCCTGAAGATATATAATTGTATATATATATATAATTATATATATATATATATATATATATATATATATATATATATATATATATATAGTATATATAGTATATATATATATATATATAGATATATATATACACACACACACACACACACACACACACACACCACACACACACATATATATATATATATATATTTTAAATATATATATATATTGCTTATAAACATGTGTATGTACATAACCAACGCATAGCCTTCGAATGATATATTCATCGCTGTATAAGTGTATGTGGCCTATGTACGTATGTGTGCATACATAAAACGTTAATTGTATCGTGTTGTGTACCCATATGTGGTGTTGAACTCCCGTACACGTTATTGTCAAATGTATCGCATATTTAAACCACTATTGTCAATTCCTACTTGCTGATCCGTGTGTATATCTATAAGTGGTTAACTATCGATCTTGTGCCTGCAATCTTGAAACAAAAACATGCCTGTCAATTTGTGCGTGTATTCGCAAACATGTTATATCTGACATCCTTGCACTTTGTGGCTATCGTCTTGTCACCGTATAACGTATAGGAGTGCATCTATTGGTCTTCGAGGTCTGACACTATATGTCAGAGCAATAGCACCCATATCTAAATTTCTGTGTCATGGACCCTTGCATCGTGGTAAGTCCTTTCAAAGTACAAACGCGTATGCTGATTTGTGTATGTGCTTGTAGACATGTAGTAACTGACACAGTTGTACATAGTGGCTATCAACGTAATGCGATATTCGATAGCGTTGGATTATATCTCTAGTGCATAGAGGTTTGACTATGGACGTCAGTACTGGTTATTGTATAGAACGGTAACCACATGTGTCAGTACTAAAGCCTATATACTTGCTGCATATTTTTTTGTTAACAGGTTGACTATGTAGGTCAGCGTGAGAGCCAACATGGCCCAAGTCTGGCGATATTAGCCAAGTGCCTGTGTATTGCAAATAACAGGGAGAAGGACGATATCTCGATTTGCTACGGCGAAAGATGTGTGCGACGCCGCGTGGACAATGCAAGCTATACCATATGTACTTTCTATTGTCGTTAACTACCACCAGCACACGCAGTAAGTAGGACAACGCAAACTCAACTGACATCCAATCGAGCCGTTTGTCTATTGTATAAACACTTTTATGTGATTCTCGTTTACCAACACAAGGCTCATAAAGCCCACAAAGACCGTATGTAGAAAGCAAGCTATATATGCTTACAATATGTACTTCCAATTGCGTTTCACTGTTAACAACATACGTAGAACGTATGTACAGCAGATTACCTGACATATGCATGTTATATATGTACCTCCAATTGGTTCTCACTGTCACGCAGTACTGCATAAACTAAAACTAAACGCACCTGACATGTACTGGAGCAATAGTATCGTTGGCGACACACACAAGCAAATCGTGCCTTTTCATTGCAGATACCACACAGTGTATTCTTCATTTGCACTCAAGAAATAGTTATATACTCTTTTGCCTGATCCCGTCTTCATGTGCACAGTTTCAGTCTGCATTTGATTGATCGCCATTGACACGCGGTTGTTGTATTGCCGAATAGGGCTATACTTCTTTATTTATATCCATATCCATATATATTTAAACTGCAACCAAACTATGTACACAGGTATAGTCCCCCTAGCAATGGTCAGGTAGTCCGATACTACACGTACACGAAACGGCTCATGCGTGAGAAGTGGAACGTGTACATCTTTTACGTTTTATAAATCTCGGCTGGAATGCCGTGGGCTGAAAACGTTGATTTATAGAGCCAATTTCGGTTACTCGCTAGAGACTAGAGAGGCCTAAAAATATAAACGGAGAAAATCGCCCAGACAAATTTCTTGTCGTGTGAAGAACGTTTTCAATTTTCACACACCTGCCATCACAAATGCCACAGATCGTCAGTGTTCTGGGAGTTCATCAGACAGAAGTCGAACCCATGGTCATGGCGCGTGTGGCTTGTCCCAGTGCGCGGCCTCTGGACCGACACAGTAGTATATTGGCTAGGATCTTGGACCCACAGAACGGTTCTGGTGCAGACCGGAAGTACATGTCCGATGCGTCGGCTTTAATTGTACCACACGTCGTCCGTGGTTGGTGCCCGGGCTGTCGACAAGTAGTTATACGTAAGTTATACCTACATGTGCGGCTTCATAGAGGGGTTTCCCGATCAAGTAGATCCGAGTTAAAACTTCTATACTATTCAAATACTCATATTTATGTTGCTTTTTAATCGGATTGTTTAGACTCTGCGAGAATACCTCAGTAGAAGGTTACGAATGCATTTTGGGATCAAAGAATTAATATCTGACCCCATGAGAGTCGATATTTGTGTTCTTTATGTTAAAATCGAACATGTCTTGCTAAGAATGGTTTAAACTCTTATAAAACGTGTTTATGCTTGTTTGAATTGCGATTATCAACCTCGAATTTCGTATTCTCTACCCGTGTATCACTCATGCAAAATTCATTGTGGTACTACTTTAACCCTGTTGTGAGGCGAACAATAAAAAGGGAGAGGCCGGTGGGACGTGAGGATAATATTATACCATGTAGAAGAATAGGAGATTCTTGTTGAGAAGAAACGACATAAAGTGATCAAGTCAGTTGCAGTACTCTAGATACTAAACAAATATAGTATTTACAATCAGTGAGTGTGTTATGTGCATGACGTACGTATGACAACAGGTTTTTATGGTAGGTTTTCTGGTCGAGGAATAAACCTAGGAGAGCAGCAGACTACTACATACATAGTAGGAGCCAGACTGCCTGGCTGCCAGAGCCTCAGACAGGCCAGCCTGTTGAGCAAAGAACCACATAGTACTGTAGTACATAGTGGGGAACTATGTAATTAGGTGGGGAACATGCACTCTACTCTGAGAGTAACCAGTTCATCAATGGTGGGATGTGATAGACTGTAAGCATAATGGCGATTCTATTGGATCATGCCGTTGTCGCAGCAAATATATTAACATATATTTTAGCACCAATAGATTTGGGGTTTGAGGATTTAGCTGTAGTGACATATACATTTACTGTGATAGGGTATAAATAGTGTAACATAAGCTGGACTATAAGCAAGAGTGTTCAAGGCTAACAACTTGATTATGCATACTAAATTATATATAAAAAGGCACGGCCCTCTGGATAGGGTCTCGAGCGCAAATCAAGAGCGGAAATCGAAAATTTAGCAGACCCAAATCCAGAGGGCCGTGAAAAAGGTGGTTTTTTTGTCCGAGTAAAATAGTTGTGAGTTGTGACGTATCCTCAATCCTGAGCACATATCAAATGGTAGATTCGGGATTCCCATGACTAATTTACAATTTAGATCCCTCTTTTTTTGGTTTGATTTGTTTTTAGAAACAAAACACAAAAAAATCTTTATACCACTGAATACTGATACCAGCTCAGAGAGGCTGTGAGCTCACCAGCTGTATTTTCGATGGGGTTCGGTCGACGTCTATTGGATGATATATTTAGGCTCAAACTATGATCTGTGACGTAATATGGCCGAACAGACATTTTGGAGGTTATATAAGCGACGTGATCGTCGTCGAAAGGATCATTACAATGTCTTGTATTTTCTCCCTTACTATAATCGTGGCTCCTGCCAGTGCTAGCGTTAGCACTGGCGCAGGCGCCGACAACTCTACCAGGGTCTTAGTGGACGACTACAACATGGGAAGCACCGTCCGATACTTCGGGTACCGACGCACTTTCTGCCAAGAGACCGTCGATGGCCAGTATGTGACGTTTCATACGGTTCGCCGTGGGATATCCGCGATGGTATATGTACAAGGTTCACGACCATGAACGCGTGCCGCAAGTCCTGGATAGATACTGAGGCGGCCATCACAGTGTCGTCTGACTACGGGGTGCAGCAAGACGACATCTACGTGCCCGAGTCCATGCGCCAGTGTGTGCAGATCGATAGCAAATTTATCTTGGCCACTAATGACGACTCGCTGTCATGCGTTGCTGACAACGACGGTCACCAGTGCCGCACCTACAGCAGTTAATCTCAATGCATATACGCCGTCGCCAAGAAAACGCTTCCGAAGTTGATTGCGTACGACAACGAGCGCGTTGAGAAAAAATTGAACTTTTACGCGATCTATTACTAGGCAATAAAAACTCTCAGTAACCATGGACAAAGTAAAGGCGCTCTGTGATTCACACAATTGACTGTGGACTCAACGCATGACGTGCCGGCTGCTTTAATTCACTTAAGAATACTCTGCAGATGCTGGCTATATGAGGAGTAGTGCACGACATGTGTATGGGGTTACGTCACGACCGTCGATGGTACGGCGCAGTGGCCAAGTGCCACACGAGCATTTACGCGCGGCTGTTGTTTGGCTGGACACGGTGTAAACGGCGAGGCTTCGGAGGCGTCAGAGGCGATGACAATAAACATATAATAGTAACAATTACAAATGCAAAGCCCTTATAGGCCATAGCTATGATAGCAGTGTACATATATAGTCTACTAATAAATTAGAACACACTCAACACAGTGTCAGCAGCTGATAGTGACAGAGGCAGAGCCCTCTGTCTTTTGTTTTTGTTTTTTTATTGCTACGAGTCTATATTGTCGTTTCCACCTAATCTGTCAATCACCCCCCGGTTAATGGCAGCTAACAAGCCGAATGCAGCCGATGTAAACTTTCTGAATTTTGTGTCGGCCATGCTCGCGTATGGTGAAAAATTAAAATTTGTTTTAGGAAAAAATTTTCATTGGCTTATGATCCAAAACAAAAATTGTTCAAGTTTTCAGGCAGATGTTCAGCGTTCAGTATGTAAGATTCGGTCTATTAAGGTGATATTAACGTCTTAGAGTAAAAAAACGCGTAGGTAAATTCTAAGTATCGTGAAAATATGAAAGTAAATAAACGAAATGAGACTTTTAGTAAAGTTGGGTATGCCTCGTGAAAACAGCAATACTCTGAGGGATTGTGAGGCTGAGACATTGCCTATATATAATCCTCTCAGTAGTGTTTCCGCCGAAGGGATTTTAGTTAATGGTTCGTTGTCGCTCTATTAGAAACTATGGTATGTTTCATTGGGGCGAATCTGAGAGACTCATAAAATTCTATCTTTAGAAAATTAAAATGACTCCTGATGTCCATAGTTATTGCATTAACCAATAACTTGCCACTTATCAAGAATTACCGACTTAGCCTTCATCAGACTGGCACATCTAGTTAGCTGAATGGAGGATAAACTAAGCAACGCTAATAGTCCCTAGAAACCTATATTCGGTTGAGCCATCTCGCTACCGAAGTATTCCGATATAAATAAAATTGGAAAGTAAATAAAGCTCTATTAATAGAACTAGACCAACTCTTTTATGTTTGGTATTTTACTGAGGCCTTTTAATGGCCTCATCCAAATATCAGGTGTGTTAAATGGAAAAGGTTTAATTAATAAAACCATTAAAAACCATTTTAGGAAACTTAAGTTCCTTGTACTATTAAGAGTACGTTTATAGTTTACGTACTGCTTAAGAGTACGTTTATAACATAGAGTCCAATATGGAGGTCCGGCTATTACAACATCCGGATCATCAAATGCTGATGGTGGAAGATCATACTGTGCTCCATCGGCGAACTCCGTAGTGTAACATGTCATATCCTCATGTTCGTACTTCCCTAGAATCTTCTTAAACTCGTAAGCCATAAGAGGTGTAGTAGCTTCACGTGTGTGACAAAGGATGGTCCGATATTTAAGACACTAGAGCCGTCAACGTTGTTAACTTCATACGTTCCGCTCTTCTTATCGGCCACAGAGATCATAAATGGTCCAATATATTTAGCCGTAAGCACAGTTGTATCGGAGTTGCGAGTCATTATGCTGACTATATCGCCTACCTCAAACTCGACTATTTTTTTCGGTATCATTCCATCGCCTTTGTCTCTTCTTGAGAGCGATGTCCTTCATCTCTCTTAAGCAAGGATAGACCACATCTCTGGTCCGACGCATCTTCTCTAACCCTGGTAACACATGATCATCTTGAGACTCCTTGTTGAAGGGGATCTGTAATTCACTATAACGACCAGGAAATAGTGAGCGGGTGTTGTACCAGTGACTGAATCAAGGGATTCGTTCATCTGTGTCTGTACCCAATTGATCGAGTACGGTCACATGTCAGCATCATCAAATAGTGCTCCTCGCATGAACTCCTTCATCTTTCTGTGTCGTACCTCGTTTGCACCTTGTGTCTGCGGCTTGTAAGGTACAACCATCTATGGCATGATCCCGCAACGAGTATCAGTGTCGTCATGACATCCCCTGTAAACTCACTACCGTTGTCGGAACATACAATAGCTGGCCAGCCGAAATCTGCGAAGCACTTATATATGCACTCAGCCACAGTTTGAGTCGATTTATCTTTCAGCGGATACAATACAATATATCTTGATGCGACATCAAACACGTGACAGACATATTTATCCTTCGTGTGTTCGGACGTGGGTAGCTCAACCAAATCAATGATAATCCGGCGCCACGGCTCGTCTTCTGATACGCTGCGTAAAGATGCGTACCCGTAGCGCTTGATCCGGTTAACTGCGCAGTTGTTACATTCGTAATACACCTGATATATATATTGCTTGAGGTTCGGGTGTACGATTCCGTACCTCTTGCAATCTTTCTCAGTTCTAACCTTATCCATGTTCTTAAGAGCATGATTTTGTCTTAACCACTTCAGAATCGCCTCCTGGGATCTACTTGTTACATTGAAATCAGGAGGTGAGGTTTCCACCGCGTCATCACCAGAACTCGAAGACTCGTCTTGTCCAATCTCGCCTAAAGCTTCTACATCGTGAATCCGACTAATGTTTGGTCTATCCATTAATTGAGTCACATGGTCATATACCTCAGGAAAATAATTCATCAATTGCTTAAGCAATCGAGTTTCTGCTTGGTATGCAGTTTCCCTGTCAGACCATATCTTTTTTTAGAAGGCTTTCGCTAGTGTTATGCTTCTCTTTGATTCATTTGAATTTGGCTGTATCTCGGTAACACATACTGCAGGTACTTGTGTTGTCCCAGTCTCTGATTGAGACTTAGGATTCAAGAGTGGAATCTAGGATTCCTCAACCTTCTGTTTGAAAGTCTCGGATGGTGTCCACTTGGTTGTTCCAACTGGACCTATTCGACATATTATAGTATGCCGCCAAGGCGTCTTTTGGACTGCACGGGTACCCTGGTAGAGGAAAGTATCCACCTCTCTATCCACATAGATCGGCTCACATTGTATCATTGAGATCAACTGTGGTAGCCATTTATCTGAGTGTCTTAGGGGACAACACAACGCGATGGTAGCATCTTGAATATTTGCATAATTTAGCAACTGTGGTATTTATAGCCATGGAGGATTTGCCCAGGCATTCTCGTGAGACAAGTATATCTGGAATCCGTCTCCTTTCGGATGTTCTAGTGTCCGGTACCTCGGCAGTTGCGCATTATGATGAGCGGCAAACAAATCTATGGTATGTGGTCCATATATGTTGTCAGCCATCTTAAACCACCTAGGATTGGCCATCCAATCTGTAGCTGGCAACTCCCTAACCATCTTGTTAAAGTCTAGTACGAAGCGAGACAACATGTCTTATGCCGAAAGAAAATTTCGCGATCGTGTCATGCCACCGACTGACTAACTGTGAGTTAGGTTTCATGCCCTTTAGGTGTTGCAATGACTTCTGATCACATAGCACGTTAAAGTGCGTGCCATATAAATAGTCCTTAAAATGAGGGAGTGCAGTAACAATAGCCAAAAGCTCTTGTTGCACGGTTGGGTAATTGATCTGAGACGAATTCATAGCCCTGCTAAAGAATTGCACATATCTTGGTTTCCCATCAATCATTTGATACAGGACGCCGCCGAGTGCCATGTCGGACGCGTCTGTTGCTACCATGAATGAAATACCATCCTTTGGTGGCTGAACTACTGGTGCCAGCTGAACCACTGATTTGAGCTGCTTAAATGCGTCATCACAGTCTTTGGTCCACAGTGCGCCTAGTTTGCCTTTATGACATCTCAGATGTCTAAAGGGCTTTAAATAACTTGCCAGGTGTGGTACTCCGTCAGACAAAAAGTTGACGAATCCACACATGCTGTTGACATCCTTACCCGTGGTAGGAGTTCTCCAGTCTAGCAAGTGTCCGACCTTCCCGGGATCGATCATGATTCCATCCCCGGAAACTCGGTAACACAACAGTTGAATCTCGTTAACACCGAAGTGACATTTCTTACTGTTGATCTTGAAGTTGTACTTGTTGAGTCTGTCTAGAATCTCTCGCACAACCTTGTCGTGCTCCTCTTTGGTTTTGGTGAATACCACAATGTCATCAATGTATACTTGTACATTGTCCATGTCCCTAAATAAGTCTTGCATAATTTGTTGAAAGAACGCAGGTAACATGTGTAACCCAAAGGGGGCACCTTTAAACGAATATTGCTGACCCTCCCAGGTAAAGGTGAAATACTTCCGGTGTGGTCGGTAGATCTTCATCTGGTGGTAGCCCTGCGTCAGGTCGATATTGGAGAATATCTTAGCCCCCTCCATGCGCCTGAGTAGTTCGTTTATCATTGGTAAGTGAAAATTGTGTGTCGGTATCAAAGCGTTAATTGGGCTCACATCCAAACACACCCGAACTTTCTTCAGTGTCCCGTCAGAGTTGAATTGGTCGACGGCTAAAAGCGCTAGGTTGACGGGAGTAGGCTCATAGTTGACTGCGATCACTCTGTCATCTAACCATGCTTTAACCTGTTCTCGTACGATCTGCTCATGACGCCATGCAACATAGTTACGTGTAGGACACTTCAGGTTCGAGAAATCTACCCTCGTCAGGTTTAGACTAACGTATCCGTTACTGAATTTGAACTTAGCTCAGTCCGTGATCCGAATCTTGTCATTCTCGAAAATCAAGTCCTTGAGTTTCTCTGTAAAGTGAGGGATCATCTCCTTCACAGTCTTCGAAGGTTTATATACCGGTTTCAACAAATTGTCGTCCGACCGATCCTTCTGTGGTTCAATGCGAGTAGGTAAGCCTGTAATTGTGATACCTAATGACAATAAATCACCCATACCTACTACGAGATCATAGTCTGGTGAAGTGTTACACATGACTGCCTTAGTAACTGGAGTACGTTGGTCTGTCAATGTAAACCTAAGATCGATTGCCATTTCTCTGCAAGTGATCTCTCTTTCATCAGCCAGTTTCAACATAGTTGGCTGTGACTTACGAGTTACGTCTATGACTTTACAGAATCTAGAGGATATACATGAAATTTGTGAGCCCGGATCTAACAACGCTTTTATTTCATGTCCGTTAACTCGTATGTCGAGGATTACACGCTCGTCTTGGGGTGCGTCCTTTTGTCTTAGTGACAAGACCCGGTATGTTTGTCACTTAACCTCAACTTTTGGTATCACCATGCATGTATGCTTGTGGTAACCTCCAGTTCCGGTACAGTCGGCACACTTCTTGATAAAGTGCTTACACTTTTCTGCGTGCCTTCCATTCCATCTGCCATTCGGCTCATGTTGGGTCATTTGCCAATTGCAATCAACCTCACTACAGTTCTTGACCTCCTTATGCCTAGGCTTAGGGTTGCCTACTGGCGGTTCATTTCTGTTGGTCTGGTTATCCGTAGGGATAACATTGATCTTGTTGCCTTCAGAACCATTTATATTTTGTTCTTATTGCCACCCTTGTCACCCCCTTTGTGTACCTTCTGACCTCCATTAGTGGATTGAGAGTCTCGACCATTGCCTGATCCTCCGGTGAGATTGCCGCTGATCTTCTTCTGAGAATTAGTGACTTTCACTACGGAACTAGGGCGTTTGGTAAACGTCTGATCAGCTCTCGAGTAAAATTCAGCCCAGGTTAAGTCCGCTAGCTTCATTATACCGTAGGTAGATCCCTCGATGGAGATCTCTCGCACCTTGTCCGGGTAAGATCGATGCATATCGACGTACAGAACCTCTTGATCTCTCCTATGTAGGTTTGACCAAAAGATTGTCTGTACCTATAGTACACACATGGATAGCTTATCAGGTGACATCTCCTGAGTCTGGGCCCGTGACATGTGTGTGTCCAACTCTAATATGCATTACATGTCTCGGTGAGATTGTACCATCCGGTTTGGTCTTCATTACATCCTGAAAGTACGTTCCATACGTGTTTCGAAACACCCATGCCCGGTTGACCCGCTGACGGATCAACTCTCGTTGACCCTCCTCCTGGATATCAATCCGAGTCTGGTATGGATGTCCCAGATCAAAGTTCTGTCGCCAAGCCGTTCGGAGTGGTGTTTTGGATAAGCGCAGGAATTGTAAATCCAACCTGGTGTCCGAATCGTCGTCCTGATGGTAAATTGTATGGTCCACATCATCCGGACCTATATCCACGAAACGCAGTTGTTCCTCTGTTAGATTTGGGGCTGATCCAACAGTGTTTGTGCTATTGGCACATCCTCCTTTGATCCTTTGCTGCGGCTTGCTTTTTCTTCCGCTGCTTAGTAGGTCTCAATTCGTGTACCTTTGGTTGGTAGTTCTTCAGGAAGGTTCTCCTATCCCTTGCTCTCATATGATAAGTAGGATCTCGCCTACGTGCTTTGCGCGTATCCACTGGTGGAGATGGTACATCTGATTCCAATGCATGTCGCACTTCCTCTGAAGTTGAATTGTCTGAGGATTGCGTTTTCTCGGCTTTTCCCTTTCGAGATCTCGCCTTCTTTGCTGGTGGCTTCTGTGGCTCCGTAGTCACATTACCTCCGGATACACCTTCACCCGAGTCAACCAACTTCTTACGTTTCCGTTTAGTCAGAGTTGGTGCCGGTTGAACCGGCGTGATCTCAGTTGCTTCAGCTTCTACTGATATATTTTATAAAATAATAATATATGCCTAATTTTAAATATGGACATATATTTGGATTTCCTAAAAAATAATAAATACGCGTATAAAACGATGAAAATAATAAATATGCACTTTCACGTTTATTTGTATTTATGTGTTCCTCGGTCAGTTAAATCGCAACACTAATATCCAGATTCCAGACTTCCTGAGTTCCTGTTGACTATGTTATCAGTCTATATAGACTATCAGGGGGTCGTAGAGACGTATGTACATAGACCCTCACTGCCGATTGGTGACCCGGTAATACTTCAGTTCCAGAGACCAGAGGGCCGTAAAAAATTACAAATACACGATTGGACTCCAACCAAGTCCGTTACTCCGATCAGGCGATGACCGGTCTGATGTCTCTCGTCAGTCTTGTGGTATCATAGTAGGTTAAAACCTAAAACAATGCGACTCCGAGACTCCGAGAGTATGAATCACTGACATTGGAGCGTTGCAGGAATGCTGGTTGCTACGGAAAATATACTCGTAATAACGCATATATATACTTGTTTTGTCGAAAGGAACCGATCGCGATCTGGGCTGTGATAGTTTGTTCAGGAAGGCTATGCGTCGTATGCGATCTGCTACAGATTTTTATTTTTACACAGATTAGAATAGATATAAAGTCCCTACTGACTATTCCCCAGAGCGGTAGGGCCCAGAATACATATATCCTTTCGTTGTTGTAAAAGAATAAATAAAAAACATACCGATAAGATGCATACCAGTGATACTACTGTTCTCAAGTCTCAAGTCTCGACTTTCACGGTCTCGCCTATCGATCGGAAACAAATATTGTTTTTAACACCAAACAACAAAAAACGATAAACTTGGTTTCGATAGAAATTTATGCTCTCGCCTATAACAGAGGGGCCATGGCGTACATCCAATTTTCCTATCGAATCAACAAAAAGACCGACTAGACATATTAACTCTTTTCTGATCTCTGTTAGAGTTATACTCGTGGGTGGCAGACCTGGCAGTGTTGTCAAAACTAACGAATGTTCGAGTGGGAAACTGGGAATTTGTGCATTTTAAAAATAATATAACCTCTGTAGTGAAAAGCGAAATGCCATTAGATTGCTCTTCTCAGTACGAAAGGCATTTTGATATAGTGAAAACTGGTATGTAGCAGCAACGTAAATTTTGCATTTTCCACTTAATAATACTCATTGGCAATTGTCATTTTGTGAACTTTTACAATAACAATATATATAAAGTCCGCACTCAGTGCTAGATCATTTTTGATACTTACATTTGTAAAGTGCCGCCCCCAACTACATTGCGCACTACTCACAAAAGCAGTATGGATTGCCACGCAGACTTCGCTCACCAGCTGACGGATCCGACTAAGTATAGAATGTCGAGCAAAGATTCAATAGATATAATTCTGCCATATAAAGCAAATGTGAAATCAGTTGGTTCAAATATCACCGGTGAAAAAAGAACCGAATCCGGCAGCGGAGCATTGTACTACACACATACAGCTATAAGATGACTTCTGTACCTCAGGTAGTAATCGCTACTCCATATTCAGGAAGTCCCCGAACCTCAGAAAACAAGAATCAGCCTTCAAAATATACTGAGGGACGAGAGAAGGCAAAAACTTCTGCCCGTCGATTCTGCATTGGTCGTTCGTGCACTCTAGAATTTCTAACAAGGATACTGACACACCGACCGAAATCACCAGGATGTTGAGAACTTAATCTGCGGACTTTCAGAATATATATATATATATAAATAGTGCAATCTACATATCTAAACAAAATAGAATCTAGAACTATCTACCAATTTCGAACATGATCGGTAAGATACATGGTCTATTTTTCTGGTTCCGGGTTGTATGAACGGGAAAGATAAAACTTGCGATGTATATATATTCAATTTATAGTCCCATGGAGAAAAAACGGGCTATATAGCAAAAAGATTTTATATTCACATACATATAGCAATTCAAAGGTTCAGTTAAAGCTGCAGCGTGTGCGTCTCAACTGCGCGTGCTAGATTGGTATCTCACCGACTCATATCGGGGCGTCTTAGTGCGATAGTCTACAGACCAGCACTTACCTTCTGAGGCAGAATGTAACGCCACAAATAGTGGACTTGTAATCCAGAATCAAATTGGACCTATTAAAAAGAACAACGTATAGCTCTGATGATTGCAGGTCTCATATCGAGGATTCGATATTAGTCCATTTCCAGGATCATCTAAAAAGTACTACTGCGGATGGACCTGTGTTGCAGTACCTTGCTTATCAATTCGACAGCAATGCTCATGAGCATCTGAACACAACGTAGACACCAGGCTTACGACACTCACATACTCAGGTAAATGCTTCACAGGTGGCTAAGTAAATCGATTTTGTTCCGTTTCTTACCCTGCACATGACACCAGCTACGTAAAGGTGTGTTGATCCTCGCCACTTGTGGTATAGATCAACTAATGTGTATGTAAAGGGACAGTGTGCATGCTACCATACATAACTCTCCCGACGTATTCAAACACAGCAAGTGCAGTGCATGTCAAGTTGCGATGACAATTAGATCTCCAGTTGTTTTTTTCCGCAATGGCCGACATTCAGCAAGGCAGGTACACAGGTCCCCAACCATCAGGATCTTTGGCAACGGAGTGATTGAAGGCTAGCTTTGAACTCGTTAACGCGTGTGCCGTGTTAGCATTCCGAACGTCCTCAGGGGGTAGCTAGAACTTCCTCAGTAGCTAAGAGATGTGTCGCGTGTAAACCCACTAAGGGCACTAGATGTCAAGTAGGTGTCAAGCGTTGACACTGCCAAACGCCGCCTACACCTGCTCTTACGCACTCACTCACTAATTATTCGTAGCTCCTTTCCACTGATCCATATACACTAGTATCACTACCGTGGATGAATATGAGCACTAGATTATCTACCCCGCATTCCCTATCTGCAAACTCCCTTCCTTCCCCTGGCCCATTGAAACTAGCCTTATTACCACTATATCCTCGGCAATGGTACACATAGCCCTACGTTGCCCACCCCAAAGTAGCTCAATCCCCCCAACTCCCCTCCCAAGAAGTAACTCAGGGTAGCATGTCGAAAGGGGCGCTGTTTTGAAAGCACGTCTCAAACACAGCGTCCACCGCTTCTTCAGCCTCTTTCTCTGTGAGTGCGGGGTTCATCTTCACACTCAGCAACGCTCGCCTCCGCACACACGCCTGAAGGGGGATGTAAATAATCAGTATGTGAGCATGGGCATACGAATAACTTTTTCTTCTTCTGTGTAGTGATTTGAGACGGTTGACTTATATACCCCGCAGCATGTACTAGTGAAGGGTCAGTCTATATAGCACTGGAGTGCAGTGGAGTGGCAAGCTTTGTCGCGCGTGTAGCGTGCGGCACAGAGGTTTACCAGTGTCCGATTCTGAGGTACATAATTGTACAAATACGCTATGAAACCAGTATATATATATAATGTATAACATATAACATATAACATAATATATATACAAATATATATATATATATACATAGCACTGCGCACCAAACACTACTTTGTGCATCGAATGCCGATGGCATTCACATGCAATTTGTTTCTCTCGCAAAACCTACCTTCCCACCCGCAATGAATTTGAGCTCGCCTGATTGGGCAGTCTCCACAGCGAATTTGCACTCCCCGCTAAGGTTGGCCGCCCTAATCTGCGGTACAAAGTGTTGGTGAAGAGATCAGTATTCACAGTCAAAAGCGGGACGCAAAGCGGTACCGCAATCCATACACAGGGACACACAGTACAAGAGAACTGCGCAAAGTACGTAAACTATAGGCTAAGGTGTGTGTGATATATCGCTCATGGATTGCGTGCGTGTGCGCGCGTTGGACGGGTGTGTAGACTACTAGTTTGCAGGCAGGATGTATAGAACATACAAGTGTACCTTCCTGCAGACGGTAGCGTGATCTGACAGGAATTGTATGTTGAGTCTCCTTTTTCAATATACATAGTTATTCCTAGTGGGTGAATATGCAGACTACTAGTGTGCACTCAGGATCTATGGAACATACAAGTGTACCTTCCTGCACTGACAGGAATTGTATGCAGAGTCGTCCTTTTTCAATATATATAGTTATTCCTAGTGGGTGAATATGCAATGTATAGAACATACAAGTGTACCTTCCTGCACTGACAGGAATTGTATGCAGAGTCGTCCTTTTTCAATATATATAGTTATTCCTAGTGGGTGAATATGCAATGTATAGAACATACAAGTGTACCTTCCTGCACTGACAGGAATTGTATGCAGAGTCGTCCTTTTTCAATATATGTAGTTATTCCTAGTGGGTGAATATGCAGCCTACTAGTTTGCACGCAGGATGTATAGAGCATACAAGTGTACCTTCCTGCAGGCGGTAGTGTGATGGGCGATGTAGCCCGTACTGAACTGCCAGTAATTGCGATGCAACGTTTTCCTTTTTCAGTACAAATAGTTATTCCTAGTGACACATTATTCCAACGAGTAGCTCCAAGAGTCTAATTGCATACGGCTATGGCAACTACCGGGGACCAGCAGCCCTTTCTGGCCTATCTATCCAACGAGTACAAAAATGGGGCTACGCTATTTGCTATTTATAGAACAGCTCTACCTACCTCTGAGCACGCCTGGTGTCTGGCGCTGGTCCAGTCCAGTTTCGAGGTGCACTGGTCGTACATGTGGACCAACTCATGCAGCAGCGTGCGCTCCATGAAGTGCTTGGTCATCGGAGACCGACTGTGCATCTGTTCCTGACATATTGTGATCTGTGTAGGCAATCGGATGCGAATCAGCAGTGGTGTACACACACACACACACACACACACACACGCAGCAGGTCTGTATGCACTTTCACAAGTATATAGTGGTGCCATAGCGTAATCTGGGTAGGTATTCAGATGTGAATCAGCAGTAGTGTACATGCACACACATACGCACGCAGGTCTATATACCCCTCCAACAAGTATACAATATAGTGCTGCCATATCGTAAACTGTGTAGGTGGTTAAATCTTACCCAATCAGAATCGGTGGCAGCTTACTTGACACAAAAACAGGTGCTAACACATAAACGCAAGTAAGTATATTCACCCACGCACGGATGTATGCACAACGCCACATGCTGCCTCCCCGAGTCTGTAGTCTATAGTATATTAGTACTCACACACACTCGTCTTAGTAGAGTTGTACCGTTCGTCTGGAAGATGTTCAGGCAGTAGGTGGCCAGCGTGCGTGCATATAGCAGGTGCTGCGTCACAGCACTCGTCCCGCACACAGCTAAGTGTACTGAGTATTCGCACGGGATGTGTACTTGAAATACATCGGTTAACTGTTTAACGTGCCGAGTGAGGTGTGTATATAAGGCGCAGGCATAGTACTATTGTATGCACCACAGACCCATTCAATAGGGGTGCGCAGTGGTCAACAGCGTCGCTTTCGTATATGTCGGCATATATATATATATATATATATATATATATAATACCAGTGGGCAGGTGCATATTTATATATGTTTACGATTATATACTCACTGGACATCCTAAGCAGAGCACATACCCCATTGTACGGACTGAAGCCTGCAGTTCTTGGGTGTTTGGCGGGGTCGTGATCGGTGGTGGGATCAACGGTCTCGCTGGTATCGTCTGGGACACACTGAGCACAGCGCATCACCCGGCTGTCCACCTAGATATAAGTACAAGATAACTCAGTTGAGAAACCGTAACTTTAGTCTTTAGTGTATAAAGACAGTAAAGAAACCTTGTCATGAGTCCAAGTGGAATCGCAAAATAGGAAATTAAGTCTTTAGTGTATGAGGACAATATGGAAGCCTTCATATAAGTCCAAGAGGAATCAGATGCAAAACAGTAACTTCAGTCTTTAGTGTATGAGGATATTATAAACATCTTGATACAAGTCCAACAGTAATCAGGTGTAAAACCGTAACTTCACTCTTTAATGTATGAAGATATTATGGACACCTTGATATAAGTCCAAGAGGAATCAGGTCAAAATAGAGACTTTAGTGTATGAAGACGTTTATATGGACTCAGAGAAATGGGTGCACATTGACAGAAACTCAATGTACTTGGGGGAGTATGGAAGATACGTGACAAACAGCAACGAGGTTGCACCCCTACGAAGTATAGACCCAGTAAACTAGCACACCAGCAAACCAGCAAACCTAGCGCGATTTGATGCTCACATATGAAAAAGTGGACAATTCCCACATATGAGAAAGTGTACTACAATGAAGGACAGCTGCACACAGATGGGGCCTGAAAGCTCGGCAAACAGCGTACGCGCTGCGGTGGGGACATACCGGACACCCAGCCGCCTCTATCTTATCAATCATAAACTTCACAAAGGGCGCTAGAGGGTGATGGTAGACAGGAGAGAGGAAAAGTAGGCGATAAGAAAGAACCACGGACGATTGTGAGTGGGAAGTACTGACAGCAAGATATGCGGGCGAAGAGTTAGTGAGGCGTGCATAGTATATGGTATAGCTTATACCAGACAGAGCACGCGAGGTTTGTCTAGGGGTATATATATGATTACAGATATAAAAGGGTATGTGCGTACATTTTTAGGATGTATGTATACAAAGTGCACATCCATGAAAAAGAAAAAAAATATGTACGAAAAATACATATACACAAACTTGCACATATTATCATGTACTTGTACACAAAAAATTCATATAATACATAAAAATACACATGCACACACACACACGCACACACACACACACACACACACACACACATATATATAATATGTATACACTTATAC